GCCAAAAGTAACTGAGGAGATGAGTGAATGTGAAAATAACTTCCATCTACATGATAACGCTGAGGGCTTATATGGAAAAAAGAGTGTAAAAGCACTTTTAGGGAATTGATTGCAAGACATAGTGACAAATTCTGACAAAAATACAGTAATTTCACTTGTACTTGACATCTACCAACATGAAGGCACCTTTCAAGCTTTTCTTGTTATATGAACTGCTCAAATGTAAGTCATGAAATTTTCAGTTTGCAGCAATTAAAGGTCATTAAATATGTACGAGTGCATCTGGAAGGGCACACTGCTATCACTGCTATTGTCCAAGAGGGGAAAATCAACTCAAAATCACCAGCACATGGAACAGGCAAGGTGCCCTCTCATGTTAATTCCATGTTGTCCAAATGTTTAAAAATTAGTTCTAGTCTCTGCAAGGAAAGAGCTTCCCAAGTAGCTTTAGTGAAGGCACTTCATGGATCTGGACATGGATCTTGCTCACAGCCAGCTCTGCTGCTGCAAACACTCCTGAGCTCATGGGGACTGAGTAAATAAATCAGTGTGGGGACTCTGGTGAGCTCCCAGTGAAGTTCAACACTCTGGAGTTACTAACAGGCACGAAATTCCTGAGTTTGCTCAGCTACCAAGCACCCAAAAGCCAAGGCAGAGCTATTCCAGGTGTATCTGATCTTCAGGAGAAGCAGCCAACCTGAAACCAGAGCAGCAAGGGAACCTCCCCCTGCACTTGGAGCTCAGAGGGTTCAATTAGCACTAAAATTCCTTGGAAGGTGTAATTAGCACTAAAATTCCTTTGTGGCATGCAGGCTGGATGTCTGGGAGTCTCTGGCTGTGCAGAGGAATAAGGCTGTAGCACCTTAGGAGCTCTTAAAATACAATTGCCTCACAAGATGAAACATTAACTCTGCATCCTTTACCCATTTGGCACCTTATCTCAAGGTTAATCCTGCTCACAGCCCAAACACTGTTTTATAGCTTATCAACCATCACCAGGAAATATTCCAAACTCCAGGCACTCATGACAAGGATAATGGTGAAGAAAAGTCTTGTGGTTTGCACATTGCCATCAGGATACAACAGGTGCCATTTCACGCCCTGTAATACTGCAATTAATCTCATAAACCTGCTTGCACAAACTCCAATTTATAGATAAATTGTCTCAGTTGTCATTTCCATGGGAAAACAAACAAACAAGAGCAGAGGAACAACCCCCACCTCCTCACCTCAAACCCCAAAACATTTCAAGGAGCTGGAAATGAAACCTCCAAGAAGAGTAGGAGGACGTAAAATTACCACCTGACACAATGATCAGAAGCTTGTACAGATACAGAAGCAAATTCCTTCCTCACAAGCACTGGAAACAGAAATTTTAGCATCAAAGTGTGAGAAGATCCCTGTTTCAACACTGATAGTCTGGATAAATACACATATCAACATAACAGATACCTGAATGTGTGTTTACAGACAATCCAAATTTTTAAACTGGAGCTGCAGATCTTACACTACAGTTCTAGAACAGTTTAATCCAAATTTTTAAACTGGAGCTGCAGATCTTACACTACAATCCTAGAACAGTTTAATATGGCAGCATTGCCAGAACACAGGCAGTTGTTTTCCTGACTTTCTTTGTTCAAAAAGTATTGACCCAAGTGAGATCAGTTTGGACTGGCTTAAGTGGCATCAGCCATATCCTTGAGCATAAGTCACGTTCTTCTAAAATAGAGCAATTTTATCAGTATTAATTAACATGACACTGAACTGATTCAAAAGCACAAGGAAACACAATGATTTCAAATACTTATGTACTGCCTGTACCCAAACATCACCTGAAAACAAAGCATTCAGTCAGAAAAATCTTAATTAAAAAGCCTTCAGCTGTCATTTGCTTTGCTTCATGGTATGGCTTGAGATTTGCATTTACCTGAAATATGATGAATATCTGCTACGAGAATTCAAACACGACACTTATAAAAGGAAATCCACTGCAAATCTTAAATAAAACAGCAAAAGAACTTCCTGATTGTTATCAAATCCCCATTTGAATAACGCAGCGCACTAGGAAATACTTCAGTGAATTACAGAGCCAGCAAAATAAAAGACCAGGAGCCTTATCTAACAAAGCAGTACTGAATTATTTAATTCATAAAAGCCTGTTAATCGAGATCCCAGTTTGCAAAGTAGGAGGGATGTGAAAAAAGATGCCTCAGTTGCCACCCAGGAGAGCCTCCAACCTCAGACGTGGCACTGAGAACGCGTGGACACAGCAGCATTTTATAAAGGCAAAGATTCCACACAGGCTTGGTCAGATTCAGGTCTAATTTGAAGCAAGATCCAAAGCAAAGCAGCCTGGATGCAAAAAAAACCAAAAACCCAAACTCAAGTACAATTAGAAATACTTCCCCTCACTAAATATGAATGCTATAAACTAAGTTTATGGATTACCACTCTGCATGAGAATGAAGCAGGACCCTCAATCCAAACACCCTGAAATGTGAGTGCTATAAATAACCAATTATTTGATACACAAATCCCTTCCACATGCAGGCAAGGATCCCATTATACTTTTATGAGCTGTAAAAACTCCTAACAGTTAAGCACACCACTTTTATTAACCTAATAAACCCTTGCCTTAAGAAATTCATAACTCAAACACCAAAGACAACCACCACCACCACAAGTAAACACCGAGAATATTTAAAAGCTTAACTTTCCACAGTCTCAGCCATCTGACAGGTTTGCAATGTTAAGCCCTTCGGTGCAGAGGGAAGGAAAGAACATTACTCGTGATCCTGAAGAAAACAAATGCTTGCTTCAGGTCCAAAGCCCCAGAAGTCCATACAGATACTGCTCAGAACAAAATGTGTATGAAAGAGCTTCCAGGAAAGCTGTCTCTTGCCTCAAAACTTAATAAAAAAAAAAGGGCAAGGCCACAGAAGTCTTACAAATGGATGACTCTTCAGAAAATCAGTTGCAAAAATGCTTAAATTTAACATTAAAAAGATAAGAAAAATTGTAGCCTTGGTAGCACTGTCTGTGTCTATAAATTCCAGGTGCATCAGAAATACCATAGGGAGGTATCAGTTGTTTTCCCAAAAAAAACCCCAAAAAAACCAGAAAACACTTCCAGGAGAGTTTCTACAGGGATCTTCTAGGTTAGACTTAAATGGATTTAGGCATCACTCACAAATAACAGGATGTTTAATAGCAGCAAACTGCCAAGAGTGGGGGGGTTCAGGCCCCCCCCTTCTCTCTGAGGAGCATCAAGGACTGATACTCAATGTCCCCCACTCCTGGATGAGATTCCTCACAGGAGTCATCCTCTCCATAAGATTTTTAAGTTTATACAGAATAAAACAGAAGTTGAACTTGTGAGTCACCTTCCAACTCAGGATATTCTGTGAAAGAGAGCAACAAGATAAAATCTAGATTTCCTCTAGATTCCTTTACTTCCCCCACTGCTTCCCCACAGTTCCTGGCTGGAGAGGGACATGAGGACAAACTCAGGGCTGAACAGATGAAGGATATATGTGGGAGGGAGAGGCGCATTAGTCACCCCTGGAGATTCCAAACTTCACTGACCTAGTCCCTAGGCAACCTCATCTCCTCTGACAAGCTCCAGAGGTCCTTTCCAACCTGAATTATTGTCTAATCCCGGGGGTGAGGAACACCAAGCAGTCAGGAGACCTCTGGGGCACAGCCAAGGAAATGACCTATGTCAGGAAAGGGACATGAGCAAGAGGAAAGCCCAAATCTGTCACCGACACCGGGTACCACCTTCCAGCTCCTCTCCCAGCTCCCACCACCTCCTCCTCACTGCCACTCCATCTTCTCCAACCAATTCCTGTAAGGATGGGTTCTGCCCTGTTTTGAGAGCTGGCACCTGAACTTTAACAAAACTTTTGGTCAAAATATCCTCAGTTTCCCTAAACCACCAGACTGTAAAGACATCAACTCCATCTCTTGCTCTGAAGTGGGACTCAGGAGCTCTTGTGAACTCAGTGAACATTCCCCTGCTGACATTTTACAGGTGTGGAATAACTGTATTCAATACTTCAACCCTTCTTCTTTTTTAAAGAAAGGAATTAAAAAGATATTATATGTCAGATAATGTAGGCAATAAAAGGCTCCCCTCTCCCTCCTTTTTTTGCTTTAACTGACTTCACTGGATTCCCTTTCCCCAAAAGGAATTATTGGCATACTCCTGTGAGAATGTGGGATTAAAAAAAAAGCCACCCTACACTTTCTTGGATTTCTGCCTCCTTCACCTTCCCATTCCTTGGCTGAAGCTGCCTTTTCATACTTGCTTCCTCATCACCCAGAGCAAGCTTTTCTAATTAAGACAAGCAATAAACATTTAAACAGCTGCCCAGACCACGGTCTGATTAACATAACCCTTAGGCAAGTTTCGTTGAGGGGAAAAAAAAAAAAAGCCAACAACAACAACAAAAATTTTCTCTTGTCAATTCTCGCTTCCTCTTCTGTATTTTCTTGCTTGTTTTTTGTCCTTGTGTCGCTGTCATCTGGTTAACAGCGTCCCACTCAAGCACCGAGGGCTGGAGAGCAGCGGGGTGAATTAGCACGGGGCAAAATGCAGAAAAAGAGGCATTTTCCCCCAAATCCGCAAAGCAGGAAGAAGGAAGCGCTGTCCCAGCAGGAACCGGCTGTAAAGCAGGTGCAAGAGGTGCGGAGAGGGCTGTTCCCCGGGGGAGCAAGGCAAAATAAAGTCATAAAACCAGGCAGGTTTGGGGAAATCGGGATATCGGGAGAGGGGGGTGAGCACAGCGCGGCTGCGGCCGCACACCCGCCTGTGCCTAGCCGGGCTGTGTTTATTCCTGATAAATAATTAAGCGCACACACGGACACGCAGCGATTCACCCGCACTGGGGCACACCTGTCCCGACCGACACCTGTCCCCAAGGACCGGCACCCCCGGCCCGCGCCGCTCCCGGGAAGGACAGGGGAGGGGGATGCTGAGGAAGAAGGGGGAGTCTCACCTCGCCGGTTCATGGGGCGGACACGCACCGCCACCTTCACTTTGGAGTCCCCCATCCTGCCGCTCCAGCCTTCCCGGCTCCCCCGTCCCTGCCCGGCTTCCGTCTGCCGAGGGAGAGCCGGAGCGGGGAGGAGCGCCGGGGAGGGAGGTGCTGCGCCGGGCCAATGCCGGTCGGACTACAACTCCCAGCGAGCATCGCGCACCGCCACGCCCCTTCAGCTCCCGGGGGCCGCCGCGGTGCGCGCTGGGAGATGTAGTTCTTCCCGCTGGCTGACTGGCTGAGTCACGGAATTAAATTAAAGTGGAAAAAAACCTCCGCGATCATCGAGTCCAACTTGTGATCCATCACTACCTTGTCACCAAACCAGAGCACTGAGTGCCATGTCCAGGTGTTCCTTGGACACCCTCAGGGATGGGGACTCCAAAACCTCCCTGGGCAGCCCCTTCAATGTCAAAGCACAGAATGAGAGAAGTGGTCAATTTAAAGGTGACCAGTCATCTGGTTCAACCTCTCTCCTCAAACAGGATCAACCCAGAGCACAGGGTTGCAAAGGATTGCATCCAGACAGTCCTGGAACATCTCCAGTGAAGGAAACTCCACATCCTTTCTGGTCAACCTGTTCCAGTGCTCGGTCACTGCACAGGAAAGAAGCTCTTCCTCATGTTCAGGTGGAACTTCCCGGGCACCAGATTTTCTGTGAAGAAATTACTCCTAATGACCAACCTAACGACCCTCCCCTGGCACAGCTTGAGGCTGTTCCCTCTCCTCCTGTCCCTGTTCCCCCCTGGCTGTCCCCTCTTGTCAGGGACCTCACCAGAGCCACAAGGTCCCTCCAGAGCCTCCTTTTCTCCAGGCTGAGCCCCTTTCCAGCTCCCTCAGCTGCTCCTGGTGCTCCAGCCCCTTTCCCAGCTCCATTTCCTTTCCTGGACAATGCTGCAGCCCCTCAATGTCCACACTGAAGTGAGGGACCCAGGCATTGAATACTTGGAGTCCTTCAGAATGGAGGGATCTGTCAGGGGGTGCAGCCAAAATGGCATTTATAGAGTGGAGGGAGATCAGGGTCACCCCAGACCCTGCCACTCTACCCTTGGGTGGCTGCAAGGGAAGCCCATCACGTCTCAGTCCCCTCCTTTTGGGGAAATACTGAGGTATTTCATGTTGAGCAGACAACAGCATCACCTCTGGAACTTACACACATCACCTTGGGATTTCCTCTGTGTTCCATGGAGTTTCTGTCCATCAGAAATCCCTTTATAAGTGACAGAAAGATCACAGAATCACAGAGTGGTCTGGGTTGGAGGGGACATTAAAAGCTCACGTTGGTCCCACCCCTTCTTCTATGCCAGGTTGCTCCAAGCCTCATCCAGCCCGGCCTGGTCCATCAGAAATCCCTTTATAAGTCACAGAAAGATCACAGAATCACAGAATGGTCTGGGTTGGAGGGGACATTAAAAGCTCATGTTGGTCCCACCCCTTCTTCTATCCCAGGCTGATCCAAGCCCCATCCAGCCTGGCCTTGGACACTTCCAGGGATCCAGGGGCAGCCACAGCTTCTCTGGGCACCCTGTGCCAGGGTCTCACCACCATCCCAGCCAAGAATTCCTTCCCAATATCCCATCCATCCCTGCCCTCTGGCAGTGGGAGCCATTTCGTGTTCCATGGAGTTTCTGTCCATCAGAAATCCCTTTATAAGTGACAGAAAGATCACAGAATCACAGAGTGGTCTGGGTTGGAGGGGACATTAAAAGCTCACGTTGGTCCCACCCCTTCTTCTATGCCAGGTTGCTCCAAGCCTCATCCAGCCCGGCCTTGAACACTCCCAGGGATCCAGGGGCAGCCACAGCTTCTCTGGGCTCCCTGTCCCAGGGTCGCACCACCATCCCAGCCAAGAAATCCTTCCCAATATCCCATCCATCCCTGCCCTCTGGCAGTGGGAGCCATTTCCTGTGTCCTGTCCCTCCATCCCTTGTCCCCAGTCCCTCTCCAGCTCTCCTGGAGCCCCTTTAGGCCCTGGAAGGGGCTCTGAGCTCTCCCTGGATCCTTCTCTTCTCCAGATGAACACCCCCAGCTCTCCCAGCCTGGCTCCAGAGCAGAGGAACTCCATCCTTTGGAGCACCTCTGTGGCCTCCTCTGGTTTTATTCCAACAGCACCACATCTTTCCCGTGCCAAGGCTCCCAGAGAACCTTCATGAGCCACAATCCCAAGGTACAGAGCACGGGTCAGGTCCTGCCTGGGTCTGGTTTCACAGACCTTCTATTCCAACAGCACCACATCTTTCCTGTGCCAAGGCTCCCAGAGAACTTTCATGAGCCACAACCCAAGGTACACAGCACGGGTCAGGTCCTGCCTGGGTCTGGTTTCACAGACCAACCCCTGGTGGGTCCAGTGTCAGCGAAGGCAGCTCAGTAAAAACCTCAGCAGGAATAATCAGACACAGCCTGAACAATATCACAATTTATCCTCACTAGACCCCTCGACTGCTCAACTACAGCCACCTATTGCAAAGACCGAGAACGAAACTAAAATGCAAAGATGCAAAAAAACCCACCCCAAACCTCATTTAAATGGTCATGGTTGAAAACCCTTGCAGCTGCTATTTTAGTTCAAAACAAGGATTCTCTCAACGTTGTTTTGAAAAGGCAGATTTCAGCAAGGACAGAAAACCCCCTGCCAAAATTCACAGTTGTAATCCTTTGGCTTTCCAGCATTGAAAGAGGTTTTGTGACAGAAATAAATAAATAACACATGTCCAAGTGGGCTCGAGATAAGATTTTGGTAGGTGGCACTTTTTGCCCAGAAGAACTGCACTCAATATTTATCATTTCATGCCTGCCTGACCTGAAGAATATCTTGTCAAAGCAGAAAGAAAATGAATATTAAGTTGGCATTTAAGTCACGCTGGGATTAATGCCCATCTTCCTAAGAGCATCCCAAGCAAGCACGAGGGCTGGGAAGATGTCTTAAAGCTACACAAAATAATTTAAATAACAGGTCAGAGCAAGCAGAGTTGTGAAAGCTTGAAGCAAAAACTGATTTTTTATCTGCAGCAGGGGAAAGCATCATCTCTGCAGCTCCCTGGGAGAGGGGACATCCCACTCTGAGCCTGCACAGTTGCTCCTTGCACTTGTGAACTTGAGGATCCAATTACAGGATGAAACCCAGCTTTGAACTTCTTGTGGTATTCTCCAGCTGGGGCCTCGACAAAACCGCACCAAGGTTTTCTGAGACCCAGTGCTTTGGCCGTGGAGATAAATTTAATCCTCACTTTCCAGCTGAGCACCACGAGTGGAGGGTGGGTGGTTTTTTTTCCTCGGGCTGAGTCACCTGGAATTTGATTTAGAGAAATGGGATGAAGCTCATGGCCAGATGTGTGCACTGCTGGGGATGGCAGGTGCCACCCAAAGCCTGCCCTTCCTCCTGCATCTCCTCTCCTGTCACTCACCACTGGTTTAGGTAAAATTAAACAGCAAATCTTTTAGGGGAAGGATCAAACTCCACTTTTTTATTTGTTCCAAAGAGGTGCCTGGCGCGTTTTAAGTGCGATCACACACTGCTTGCGAGCTTTGCTCCAGTTTTCTGCTCGGAATGAAGAATTCGTTTAAAAAAACCTGAAAAATCACTCTTTTAGCCTTCCTTCACTTCTAATAGCCAAGGAGAAACCATATTTACATATAACCATTGCCACTTTCTGCGAAGTTCTTCAAAGACAGAGACATCCTTCGAGTCCAGAGACCCTTCTCAATTTTGATGATGTTGAAGATGCTCGGCAGCAATAAATTCTCATTCTCTCTGCAAGTCCTGCCTCTGGACTTTTCATTTATGCTTCCGCCTGTTTCCTGCGCTGAATTACAGCAGTGCAGCTCCTCTTGCACTGGCACAAACCCTACCTCGGTGTAATTACCCCACTGTGAATTCCTCCACAAGCCCTTTCCCTGGCTCAGGGCTCCACAATCTGTGGGAAGCATCTCCCTGGAGGGGCACAGCTTGGAGGGAGGATATTGTTTCCATTCACAGCCCTGGAACATGCTAATTATGCTGGGAGGAAAGAGGGGGGGTGGCAGCTTTCACTTGGGAGGGACAGGCCGGGCAAATAGTTTGTGAAACGCCAACTTAACCCCATCTTGTAGGGAATTGTCTGCAGCTCTTTTCCCCCTTCCTAGTTACTGTAATGAGGGGCTGACTTCCCAGATTAGCTCTGGCTATTTAAATGCTAATTTAATTAACAAAACATCCCTGGGGGGGGGGAGGCACTGCTTGTCCCTCCCATTCATTTATCGGGTTTTTGAATGCGACACTGTTTTCATCAGGTTGAGGAGACACAGTCATTGCTGTGCCCACCTGGTTGCGGCAGGGCTGGAACAGGAATGTGGGCGAGAAAAAACCATCTCCTTCATATATTTTATTTTTAATTTTTTTTTTAAACAACTAAATTGGATTGCTTTTGTTTAGAAATAAGTGGTTTCGTGTGTCCTGCCCGGGGCGTGCGTTATCACCAGCCTGCTAGGGAAGAAGTTTTTGCTTTTATCTCGATGAAGGTACCGAATGTTTCAGCTCTCAGATCCTAACTAGAAAGAATTTTATCTCCGGGCAAGGCAGAAAACACGGCAGTCCTTTGGATGTCCGTTCATCCAAACCACAACAAGCGACAAATCAAGTGAGTTTTAAATCCACTTTTCCATTTGTTCGGCTGCGCGCCGAAAGAGAGGCATCAATTATGGATTTGCTGTAGACCTACTTTGTGCCCATAAATCATTCAGGAGCTGGAAAACCAAACCAGGGGATCTCACCAGGGTTTAGTCAAACTTTGAAGAACTTTTGCAAAAAGCTCAGCATCTCTGGGACAGCCCTGGGATGCATCCAGCAGCTCTTCAGCACCTGCAGTGATCAGATCCTCAGCACACAATATGTGATGAAGCATTTTAAAAACAAAACCTGTTGCTATTGTACATTTTTAATAGATTTTTTGTTTTGTCCAGTCCCTGGGGTAATAAGTTTTCATCTGATTTTGTCTTCTGGTTTATCTTGCTTTTCAGCCTGAAGATATGAATGTATAAAGGAAGTAGAAATTTGGAGGCACGAGCAAAAACACAAGACA